AATCCCAGAGTTCAGATCAAGAGCAATCCAGTGTATACCGACCAGTCCGTTTCGCATTAGCAAACCAGAGCTAGGAAACTGCAGATTTCGGGAGGGGGAGGTGTCCAAACGCCTGCGCTGGAGGGCCTGTTTGCTAGGCGAGGCTGCATTTCCTGCACTTTTCCATGCTCGGTATAGCCTTCCCGGGAAATCCCAGAGTTCAGATCAAGAGCAAACGAGAACTAGGAAACTGCAGATTTCGGGGGAGGTGTCCAAATGCCTGCGCTGGAGCGCTTGTTTGCTAGGCGAGGCTGCGTTTCCTGCACTTTTCCATGCTCCGTATAGCCTTCCCGGGAAATCCCAGAGTTCAGATCAAGAGCAAACGAGAGTTAGGAAACTGCAGATTTCGGGGGTGGAGGTGTCCAAACGCCTGCGCTGGAGGGCCTGTTTGCTAGACGAGGCTGCATTTCCTGCACTTTTCCATGCTCCGTATAGCTTTCCTTAGCTCGGGAAATCCCGAGCTATTTGGTCACAGCTTCCGACAAAACTGCCGCGAGCTATTTGGTCAAAGCTTCCGACAAAACTAGCGCGAGCTATTTGGTCAAAGCTTCCGACCAAAACTGTGTGCAGCTGCCCACCTTTCACGTGCCCATCGCTTGCACATGCCATGAACATTCTAAAGTATCCGGACATCTGGACCCTGTATGCTGTTCGCACACATAGTGCATTCTCCAGCATTTGCTGCCCGAGCATAACCTCCGGGGGGACTTCGGAAACTGCAGATTGCACTTCTGGACCCCCCCCTCCAATAACAGATAGGGGATGAGCTGTGCTCTGCGGTTCAGGACGCGTCGCAACACCGTGCTCGTGTCCAACTCAAACTGGCGAGGCTCCTCAACCGCCGTCTGCCGCTGTGCATGCTGACCGGTCTGCTCATATGTCGGCTCACGACGTTGATCCCAGCGCAGCAGCGCCAAGGCTTGCAGCAGGAGGATCCTCAGGGACGAGGCCTTCTTCGCTGCAGGGAAGGCGGGCGCGAGCCTCCACAGCCCAGCGTGTGGAGGCGGCGGGCGAGGCCGCCACAGTTCCCCATGGCGCGGCCCCGCTGCTTGGCCTTGCTGCGGTCTCATTTCTGCCGTTGTCGTTGTCAGCATGACCGGGTAACTCCGGGCATTGCATTTCGTCATATTAAATGCAGCCTGTGTCGCGCGCTGGTTCGGGCTCCCACACGGCTGTCGCTGCCCAGCGCACGTATGCCGCCTCTTTGCTCGAGCTGCCGTCCGCAAATGCCCAGGCCCCGGCAGTGGGCTCCTGCTGTAGATTGTAGTTTGTGCATAGTTGCCGACGCAGACGGTTCTTGGCTGTCGTAACAAGGCTTGTGCAAAAACTAGAATGCGGGCATGAAAGGATCACTTCGTTCTCCGCCCTCACCTCGCGAGATGTCGTGGCTGATTACACCGGTGGGCATCAACACGTGTCTACAACTACAACCTGACGTACGGGAGCAGTGGTTGTAACTCTGCCCGTGCAGGCAGTGCCCCGAGTCAAGTCCGCTGCTTAGAGTTGGAAAAAGCAATTAGCGATGGCTGTAGAAAGACGGTGGCGTCCTCGACCTGAGACTCCCTCATGTCGAAAAGCATAGGCCATGTAATTTGTAGAATCGAAACGTGACGTGCAGTCTCCTGGCCTGTGGCTGCGCATGGCGCGTCGCGGATGCATGATGCAGGCCGGCGAAAGTCAGCCCAGGCCAACGCACGACCACAAACAGCATCATCATTGGCGCCCGTTTTTGCACCTCCAAGCAACACCCGGACGCCTTCAACAATGCGGCTCGGCGAAGATCTGGTTGTTTTGAACGACCTCGGGTCTGAAGGCGTTCTTTGCACGACAAATTGTTCCTCTCGTTGAGCTTCTGGGTGGATACCGTGTGCCTGGACACTTGTGTTTTCTTCTGGTATCTGCTGGTGGTCGTCATTCATGATTAGTACTTGGTCTCAGCATGTCTTAGCACTGTTCCCTGCAATTGAGACTGCAAGAGCTCTTGTTGCGCATGGCGGCGTGATGTGCATGCTGTGCCGCGGTTTCTGGCCCAAGACTCGGAGAAGCCGCCTCTGAGAGACAGGCGGCCGATAACAATACCCTCCCGTCGCAGCCCGGCAGGCTGCGAGGCCTTTCAACGTGCGGTGCTGCGGTGCAACTGCATGGGGTCTTTGTGCCAGGTGGGAGGATGATGAACCCTATGCAAGCACAACAGATGATGCAGCAACAGCAAATGATGCAGCAGATGATGATGCAACAGCCGTGGCCTTAAAGGTGTCCGTGTCGCGTGTTGGCGTGTGAATAATACCACACATCGAGGATGGGAGGCAACAATGCCCCTGCGGCCGGCTCTGACAAAGCCAAAGCTGCACCTGCACATTGGTGGAGATATGTTTGTTTTTGCCATGCAGCTGCCTGCCCAGCCGCGGCATGTTTGTTTCGGTTTGATCTTTTACCATTCGGTGGCAGGCATTGTGTTTTCGGTTTACACGCAGGCTGTGGGTCGGATGGATGGGGCCATATTTGTACGGTTACCCCACTACCGCTTGTTGTCATTCTCAACCTGAAGTTGAATTTGAGCATTGTTGAGCAGAGCCTCAGCACAAATGTAGGTTGCTGAGTTGCTGGTTGTTACTTGTACCAAGAGTACCAAGAGTACTAGCTGCATCGGGTGTGCAATGGTGTGCATGAGCTGGTCGTATTGCTAGCAGCTCCAGGTGTTGTTAGACGCTGCTCTCATAGCCTTGTGTTAATTAGATAGCGAAACATGCGACATTCGTTTGTGGGGACCCTTTTTTTGGGGGTGCCTTTTTTGAAGGTAAAGGGCGGCATGAGTGCTTAAGAAAAAGAGGAAGAACAACAGAGCAAAAAAAAATGACAATCAGTAGGAGAAAAAAGGGAGAGACAAAAAATAACAGAAAAACTATTGCCTCATGTGATTCTGTATTGTGTTACTGTCATAATTAAGGTCATCGTGAGTCAGAACATGCAGTCTCACATTAGGCTGCGTTGTGCAATGTACTCGTTGTAACATGGTAAATCAAACCATACAGGCTGCAGACTCCGAATATTGATGAAGCCACGAGGACTTTGTATTCAAGGCGTCTGCATTGGCAGTTTTGGGTGGAAAGGGCAGGTTTTATTTTTCATAGCAATGATTGGCATTGTTTTTTGCTGAAAGCACTGTGCTTGTATTCTTGCTGCTGTAGCTTAGTGCGATGAATACATTCATCACTAGAAATACTATTCCTGACTACTTCTGCTACTACTACTACTACTACTGCTGCTGAGAAGATAGGAAAGGTACGCTTTTCCCATGGAGTCCACGTGAATCTATTATGGTTATGGTGCCTGTTGGTGCATGGCTATGATCAATTCCTTGTGTGGCTATGCCGTTGATGATCGTTGACTCTGTGTATGCCTCACGACATTTGTAGCCCCGCAATGCTGACTTCGTCGTGCCAAGTGGGTGACAAACTATTATTATTACTACTACTACTACTACCACTACTACTACTACTACTACTACTACTCCTACTCCTACTCCCACTCCCACTCCCACTCCTACTCCTACTCCTACTCCTACTCCTACTCCTACTCCTACTCCTACTCCTACTCCTACTCCTACTGCTGCTGCTGCTGCTACATCGTGCGGGATTCCAGGGCCGCTTTCGTTGAAAGTAATTTTGAAATGTTGGGACCGTAATTTTGGTCATCTTGCTGGCGCAGGGGGGCGGGCAAAATGACGAGTCATATTTGGGTTCAGGGATTAGGGGTTTCAATGGGTTTTAGGTTTATGGGCTTAGGGTTTTAATTTGGGATGAGAGTTTAGGGTTGAGCCGGCCCAGCGAGAGGCATCGGTTCAAGGTTTGTAGGGTTTAGGGGTTTATTGGTTTGGGCTTAGAGTGCAGGGATAGGATTGCGGTTTTAGAGCAGGTTGAGGGGGGCACGCATCGGTTTAGGGGTCTGGTTTAAAGTTTAGGGCTTGGGGTTTCAGGGTTCGGGTTGAGGGGTATGGGTTTAGAGGTTCAGGGCTTAGGGATTTCAAGGGCTTGGGTTGAATTAAAGGACTAAGGTTCAGAGTAGGGTTTACAAGGGTGCGCATGTCAAGGGTTGAGGTGGTGCAAGTGGTATCCGAGCGGGGCGGGGAGGGGCGGAGGGAGGCGTCATTTTGCCAGCCACCGCCACCACCACCGCCACCGCCACCGCCACCGCCACCACCACCACCACCACCACCACCACCACCGGCTGCGTCATCATTACTCACTACTCATCATCATGAGTATTGCCATAGTCACGGCCATGACTGCTACTAGTGTTTCTAATGATGCCATTCATGCTATACCTCCATCCCCCTCAACAACACAAACCCCAACCTCCCCCACCCCACCAAAGATTCTTCAACCCCTGCGGCCCCCCTTACCTTCCGCACCCCCCCAAGCCCCTTAACCCCTCCTACTTAGTTCACGGCCGCTTGCGTCGCGAAGTCTTCAGAGCATGAGCCACATGAGCACATAAACCTCGTGCTGGCCATTGCAGGTTTGTTTCACAACAAACATATATGCAGCGTGCGATAATTATAGCGTGCCACGTGCACATGCGGATTTTGCGGGCCAAGGCGATGAAAAAAAGAAAAGAAGATGACAAAAGCAACATCGTGTTTGTTGGCGGGTTGCGGAAGAGCACGACGGAGGACGGCAGCGGCAGGGAAAGAACAAAGCATGCGGTCCGAACTGTGCCTGCTTATTCGCATGTGGATTCGAAGGATAAAGTGGCTGGTCACTTTTCCAAGTTCGGCCAAGTCGATAGTGCGGTGGCCTCGTTGCTGCCGTCGCTTGTGCAAGCGAAACGGTCATGTCTTCCGCGTGCATGCGACATTCACTCTGCGATGCATCAGGTAGACATCAAAAGGCTACCAGACGGCACATCTCGAGGGTTTGCCTTTGTCAAGTTTGTAGAGGCCAGGGTCACGATTCAAAGGATAAGAGGTTTTCAAGTTAACAACTGCCTGCTTCGCAGGTTGAATCCATCGCAAAGGTCTTGGAGGCCCAGAGTAGTCACATGCCACTTGGATGCCGCAAGTAATGCTTCGTTCACCCACAGCATATCTAGGTCTGTAGCAGAACTCTGTGTGTGTGCGCGCGTGCGGGTCTGTGTGGGTGGGTGGAGTCTGCGTGCTTGCTCGGCCGAGGATTGACAACAAGTGGGTGGCAGTCAAGCCGCACGGTGGAACTGCATTCACGGAAGATAAGAACCGAGAAAGAGCCAAGGCGAGGACACGTCGCATCGGGTTTCCTGGATAGTTATTTTTCACCATGTCATATTATATACCATTCAACATCATATCAAATCGCGTCTCCTCTCCTCGTCTCACCTTGCCTTGCCATCATTCCCACCACATACATGCTACATTACCATACACATACACATGCGCACAAAAACATTCCGAGAGCTCCTATTTATCAGTATGGGTGTAAACTGGAGTACGAAAATGTGGATCCACTATGGTACCTCGAGCGTTCGTGTTGCAAAAAAGCTTGCACGCGACCTCGAACTCCTCTTTCTTGAATGGTGCCAAGCGAACCTCAGAAACAGAAGTGAACCATCACGTGACCATCGGGTGTTGCAAGTATGTTCTCAGCCCCTGGCGAAAGAAGCAAGGCAAGCCTGACTTCAGAAGTCTACCGACTGAAACCACACAGTAGGGGTAAAAGTGGAGGAAGCAGGGCTGACCATCCAAGTCGACCTTCCATAAACCGTCAAAGATTAACTTGAAATGCTTCGCAAAGGTCGTGCTTTCCCCGCGAGTGGCACAAGTCACCCTGCGAAGAAAAGTTCTTCGGGCAACAATGTGTGGCAGCACCTAAATCGAAAAGTACCCAGGGATCCGCATCTTCCAAAGTAGATGCCACGAGATGCTCTCGCCTTCCACCGCAGAAAGACGCTAAGTGGGACAGTTGCTTGCGAAGTGAGCCGTCTTCCTGACCACACGACCAGCAAGCCGAAGTTAAACTAACTAGCAGTGGATAGCAGTGGTCTTTCCTTTTCTTTTTCTTCTTCCTTTACCTTTCATAGCCTTTCATAGAGCTCCAATGCTGGATTCATTTTGATGCTGATTTTAACAAGTCCTTTCCTTTTCCTTTTCCTTCTTCTCTTTCCTTTTCCTTGTCCTGCCCACAAGGCTGCGAGGGCACCAATGTCCAATGGGGCTTGAGCTCCTCCCGGAAGCTGCATTCGCCGTAGTTTGTGCAGCAGGGATCATCAAAGTCGCGCATTCAAGCTAAGATGCTGTTGTAAAGCTCCGATGTTCAGCAAACTTGCCACCAGGACACCATCGGGCGAAGGTGTGCCCGATTGTCGTTCATACCTAGCTTCAATCGTAACCCAAACGCTAAAGTCCTGTTCAACGATGGCAGGGTTGAGTTGTGTTCCGGGTGGCCCCTGGCAGCGAGAACTTCTTGTAAAGTCTGCGTTGAGTTTCAACGCCATTTGAATCTTCATTCTGTCCAAATATTAGTCTCGCTGAGTCTTCGCAAGTTGCGACAGCAGGGAATGTAGCTTTCGAGACAAAAGTTCTGGTTTTGCTGCTGCTTCTTCATTTGGATCACCTGTATCAAGTTCAACCTGCCAAGTTTCATCCATGACCACCCTCCCCAGTCAGCTGGCTGGCCGGTGAAAGTATCGGGCAAGGGAAGCCGAAACTTTCTTGCAAAGTCTCCTTGGCCTCCTGGGGCCATGTCTCGTTACCAAAGTCCAAACTTCCCTGGAGATTTCAGTTCCGCTACCATGCGAAGGTACACTGTTCCAGGAACCAACAAAACCTGCCCCAAAGCATACATGCAGAGCCCACACAACTTATGGGGCCAGAGTGGCCCTGAACAGCACACGTGCACACACACACACACAC